ACTGTCCTGTTGAGATTTTCAGTTGAATCTCAAGCTGTAATAACAGCTTTACAGTTTCTAGTGCGAGATCTGATTGTGATGATTTTCAAATTGTTCCTAGTTTAATTTCAAGTAATTTTGGGGCCAATCAAGCTGTGTTTTATCATCTCTTGGATGCTGTATCTCTATAATTCACTCCTGGATTTTTGAAAGGCTGCTTGATTCAAAGATTAATCCTGTTGTTGCTGGATAACACTTGCTGAAACCTTGCGTCTGTTTATACTGCTGTAGTTGACCTCTTCTCCTCCATATTTTGTTCCATTTCCAGGTACATATTTGCACTTGATTCAGTGTAACTTTGATGAGGAAATGCAATGAAATTGCTTGCGTATTTGCTCCAGTTGTTCCTGCCTAGACTGTTGTTTGTTAAAGAGTCAAAATAGGTGTTAAATACAATTGTTTAGTCTAGTTCAATATTGATACGTATTTTTGTTTCCTTTACAATTCCTGGGTTGTATAATAGGACTTCACAACTAGACTGTTCGCATGAACTGAAGATTATATTGGCATTTAACACTTAGATGTTGTAGCCGAAGCTAAATAATATTGGTGCAGGTACTCAGCTGTTGTGATTGTTAGTATAATTTGATGTTAGGAAGATTTTGATACTAAGGCAAAGTATTGAGCAATAATTCACATAGGTTTCAATGAAGTGATAGAATTAGACCTGAAGCCATTTTAGTATATTGAAACACAGGCCTGAAATCAGTGTTGAATCATTCAATAGTTTAAAGGATCTCGCATTGGTTCTCAAAAAATGATCTCATCCTGTTAGAGTATGTTCATCCCTGTGCACGTTGATCTGTTCAGTCCTAATAATCCCAATTTCTAAAAATAAAAGGCAAAACGATCGTTTGGTTCTGTTGGTCATCAAACCAACCGTTTGAACACTGTTATGGTAATTGTCAGCTAAAAATGACTAGAAATTGAAACTTCAACATTTGGTTAATGGTCATGCTAGTCAGTCACTTGGGCTCGTTGCTAAATTGCCATAAAGATGCAGCACTTTGTGGATCTAATTGCCTATCCATGGTCCTGGGCCAATCATTGAGGCCCAAGAAGTTCATTGGAAGTTAGAAATACTTTTAAGGTCATTAGGAGTAGTGTCGTAACTAATTTGGGCCTTCGGGTTAGGTAGCGGGTCCAAACTAAAAGGCTTGCCCTTTTGTTTGAACCCGGACTTGAACTTGAAGCCCGATTTTTTTTTAAATATTAATTAGCTAGGACTTTTTCTTTTATTATTAGAGACAAAATATAGAAAATCAATAGTTACTTTAGGATTGGCCTCTAATAAAAAGTGGGACGAGCCTCGCCAAATAAAATGCCTAAATAGCGGGGCCCTCATTAAATGCTTTATTAAAATATTAGAAACCCGGGACATGCCATTTAGCGAATTGTCATGGCTTCCCGCAAAGTTAATAAGACGCTAGCCACTTTAGGCGCGCTTTTAATAATTTTACCTTCTTAAATACGGATGCACATTTATGTGACCCAAATCCAAATCCCAAAACGTTGAATAAGAGGTGTTGAGGATCCGGGTGAATTTCATGTGACGCGATCCAAAAACGCGCTCTTAAACGGCGTTCACTTTCATAAAAACTAATTAAAAGCGGTTAAACAATTTTAAAATTGCACTATAGGATGATATGTATTAAAATCAGACTTTAGCCAAATATAGCAGTTGAGCGACCGTGCTAGAACCACGGAATTCGGGAGTGCCTAACCCCTTCTCCCGGGTTAACAGAATTCCTTACTCGGATTTCTGGTTCGCGACTGTTAATACAGAGTCAAACCCTTTCCTCGATTCGGGATTCAAACCGGTGACTTGGGACACCATAAATCTCCCAAGTGGCGACTCTGAACTTCTTAATAAACGAATCCCGTTTCGATTGTCCTTTAATTGGAAAAACTCCTTTATTATACCCTTCACGGGGTGTAGTAAGTGAAAAAGGAGGTGTGACAGTTGCTTTTAATGTTATCTCCCTTGCCGGGATGTTATTGCTTTTGATATTGTTTCCCTTGCCGGGATATGATTGTCGTACTAATGTTCCCTTGCCAGGATTTTATTGTGATTCTATTGATTCCCTTGCCCTTATTGCTATGTGATTGTTGTTTGGGTGAGGAAGAGTGTTAAAGTACGAAGGGTGATGCCGTGCATGATATTTGTGAAAGAGTGTTAAAGCACGAAGGGTGATGCCGTGCCGCACGATGTACAATTTCGTGCCTTTATATGAGTGATAATGCACGAAAGATCATTCCATTCCATGATTATCTGAGGTAAAAGCACGAAGGGTGATGTCGTGCCGATTATATTGATTCTTATGGTGAGGACGAGAGTAAAAGCACGAAGGGTGATGCCGTGCATGATATTTGTGAGAGAGTGTAAAGCACGAAGGGTGATGTCGTGCACTTGTCTTTGATTTCCTGATTCTTGCTGACAATTTAGTTATAGTGTCCTTTACATTTATCTATTGGATTTCCGTTGTTACTTGATATTTCCCAGCATCATGTTTTCCCTTCCTATCTTTAATTGTAAAGTTTTGCCTTATTTTCCGTTGTACATGATTTAACTGCACAGGTTTATTTAGTAGTCTGGTCCTAGCCTCGTCACTACTTCGCCGAGGTTAGGCTAGGCACTTACCAGCACATGGGTTCGGTTGTGCTGATACTACATTCTGCACTCTTTTGTGCAGATCCTGGTACTGGAGCATACGAACCTTAGCTTTGGGTTGCTGCCTTCAGTTCATTTGGAGACCCGAGGTAGTCTTGCAGGCGTTCGCAGGCCTTGGCGGCTCCTTCTATCCCTTCACTCTGTTTCTTTTATGTATTTCAGCGACAGTGTTGTATTTATCTTTCGGACCCTTATTTGTAGTATTCCTAAACAGTCTGTAAAATTGTGACACCAGTTCTGGGTAGTTTATGTTATAGATTGGTATTGGTATCATTATGAAAATATTACATTTCAGTCATTCCGCTTATTAAATTTTGCTGTTTATATGATGTTGGTTCTTAATTGTTAAAGGATTAAAATGAGAAAAATGTAAATAATACAAATGGTTGGCTTGCCTAGCTTTCACTAGTAGGTGCCATCACGACTCTCGAGGGTAGGAAATCCGGGTCGTGACATAGATAGGAAATGTAGGGAGTATCTTCGGGGCAGCACAGAAGGGCATAGGAAGATGGCACTAGTAGCATGGGACTTATTATGCAGACCAAAGAAGTGTGGGGGTTTAAATATTAAGGGGTGTCAACTTTGGAATGTGGCATTTGTTGGAAAACCGTTATGGCAACTAGTGACAAATAAGGAAGTGTTGTGGGTAAGATGGGTGCATGGTGTGTATATGAGGTCATGCAGGAATATTTGGGATCTCAATCCACCTGCGGATTATAGCTGGTATTGAAGAAGATTAATGAATTAAAACATAGCATGGCTCAACGGTACAATGGAAACACATACATATTGATTAGTAATGGAGCTTATTCTGTTTCTAGCAGTTACAATGCAATGTTAGGGAATATGCCAAGAAGTTGGGAATTGAATTTGGCATGGAGTAGAGTGATGTTACCTAGGCACAGATTTATGTTATGGTTAGCAAATCAAAAAAACTGCAAACGAATGGGAGACTGCTACAAATGCACATTCCTATCACAGGAGATGTTGAGTGTTGCATGTGTAACTTGGGAGTATTAGAGACTCAACAACATCTGTTTGGGGACTGTTGCTGGGTGAAAAATATGAGAGATGCAATGGCAAGTTGGGTTGACATCAGATTACCAGACATGGCAATACCTGAGATATTACAGTTGATTAGAAGAAGGCATTGGAAGCAATTCAGGAAGGAAGTAGCCGCAGCAATAATAGGAGCAATAGTATATCATACATGGCAAGCTAGGAATTGGAGAATTTTTAGACAAATCAACCTGAACATGGAATTCTGTGTTGGCCAAATAAAGAAGGAGCTCGCAGAAAGATTGAGTATATATGTAGAGTCCAGAAGAGCTAGACAATGTCCATTGTTGATACTACAGTTGTGTAGTTAGTTTGTAGTTCAGTTGATTTTTCTTTTCTTTCGTAGTGGATGAAGTTCTGTATTTAAAAGGATATTTTTTTCAGGTCTTGTTGTATTGGGGACAAGCTAGTACACTTGATGCTCTTAGGATGTAAAGCATTTGGGTTGTTATGGTAATATTCACAGTTATTATCAAAAAGAAAAGTTTCAAGCTTCAAGGTCCTTCAATGGTGAATCTAACGTCACAACACATCAAAGAACAATAACCAATAAATTTCAATAGGAACATATTTCAAAACACACATGAGAGAGAGAGAGATTAGAAGAAGGAAGAGATTTAGGGGTGTGAACGGAGATGATGGCGAGAGAGATTAGAAAAGAAAATGGATCTTCTATGATTTAAGGAGTATGTATACTAGTAATTAATTTTGGTGAATTAAGTATCTTTTGTAACTAGTTTAAAAGTGGGTAAATAAGGGTAATTATCAAAAAAAAAAAATACTTATTATGGCCGCTTCCAAAAATAATGGGCGACAAAATAAATATTTTTTGTATATTTGGCTAGCAAATATAATTATTTTTAGTTAATCGGTAGAATATGTCACTTCCCCTAATTATAATAACCCATATAAGCATATTGCATAAATTCCTCAAGAGTCTAATAGTAAATTACATCCAATGAACTTAAAAATGGATGGTCTTAATTTTTTGGCCCCCGCTTACCTCACGGTAAACATGTAATGTCTTCTTATATTTAAAATTCTACTCATGGAATAAGCGGGATCAAAAAAATCAATAATGGCACCCAAGTGTCCTATTTGTGCAAATCACCCAAAGACTAATGAGTTTACTTTTAAGGCCCAAATTAAATGCTCATAATGGGTTCGCTAAACCGCCCAAAAAAAAAAAACAACTCTTAACATAATTTCAATAATATCGACTTGGCGCCAACGTCGAGCTCATTCGATGCTTCAATGGAGACGTTCACACTTAAACCAAACTTCCTGGGAAATATTCTGGTGCGACTCGTCTCTTTCGTAGTTCTCGTTTTCCTCGCTCGTTTCGCTTACGTCTTCACTGTCAAAGGCGGCAAATTATGTAATTCCAGCGACTTCTGCTTCTTGCCGGAAAGCTTAAACCCTAACTCCATCTTCATCTCCGGCGAGTTTCCGGATGCCGGAACCGGTCTCCGGAACTATTACTACTCCGTCTTCCAAGATCTCATCGCCGACGGCTTCCTTTCTCCTAATTCCAAGTCTCTGTGCATCGAGACACTAACCGGCCAAGACGTCGCGGCGTTGATCGACGTCGGAGTTGTCGATTCGATCGGAAGTTTCAACAAATCATCTCCGCCGGTGATTCGCTACGGTTATCCTACACGTCAGCCGTTCGTTGAGAACACTTTCGATTTTGAGTTCGCTGGCGACGGAGTTCTCGAAAAATCGACGAAGCCAGTTGAGTTTGCTAAAGAAGTTTCTAGAACTCTAAAACCTGGTGGTTTTTTCGTTATTCACACAATAACGAAAGATAATTACAGTCTTGATTCGTTGATTCAATTGTTCGATTCTTTCAAATTGATCAGGTTACGTGAAATTGACGGTTTTGACACGTGGCAGCCTTTGATTCGCGAAGTTATTTTCGAAAAAGTAAAGGTGACAGGATTGGAACCTATGGCTCGATGTAACAAAAATAGGTGTATTGATTTCGAGAAAATGAGTAATGACTGTGTTATTTCAGGGTATAAAAGAGAATTAATTCGAAAATTGGAGCCTTTAATTGAGGAAGAGCCAATAAAACCATGGATAACATTGAAGAGGAATTTTAGGAATGTTAAGTATTTGTCTTCAATGGTTGATATAAGCTTTAAAAATAGGTACATTTATGTTGATGTTGGAGCAAGAAGTTATAGTTCAAGCATTGGTAGTTGGTTCAACAAACAGTATCCAAAACAGAACAAGAAATTCGAGGTATACGCGATTGAAGCTGATAGGGAATTTCACGACGAGTATAGGAAAAAGGGTGTTAATCTTTTGCCATACGCAGCTTGGTTGAGGAACGAGACGTTGTTTTTCGAGATAAGTAGAGAGCCGAGTAGGAAGAAGAACGTGGAGAAGGGTCGAGGGATGGGGAGAGTACAATCAGCACAATCGTCGTTAAATTTCGTGGGAGATTTGGATAAGATTAAGGGGTTTGATTTTGCATTATGGTTGATGAGTTTGGCTGAAGAAAGGGATTATTTGGTTGTGAAAATGGATGTTGAGGGGACTGAGTTTCATTTGATACCAAGGTTGATTGAGACTGGTGCAATATGTTTGATTGATGAGTTGTTTCTTGAATGTCATTATAATAGATGGCAAAGATGTTGCCCTGGTAATAGGAGTCCAAAATATGACAAGACATATGCACAGTGTTTGGAGCTGTTTTCTTCTCTTAGAGAGAGAGGTGTTCTAGTTCATCAATGGTGGTGAGTGGTAACTCCTAAAGCCAAGTATTCTTTGATTCTTTGTATACATTTTGTCACAGTGATTCCTCTGTTAGTGATTGATAGAAGTAAATTGGATAATAGACAAGTTAAATGCAATCTTCTTGTGTCTGGTTGCATGCAAGTTTAACAGACAAGTTAAACGAGATTCTATTAAAAATGAATGTCCGGTGCACGAATCATCTCGCATTCACGCAAGATTAAAGGAAGGGCCGCACTGAAAGAAGTATAATGTAGGTAATCTACCCTAATGCAAGCATCAATGGTTGGTTCCACGGCTCCAACCTATAACTTGTATGTCACACGGAGACAATTTTATTGTTGCTCCAAGACCCTTCTAAAACTAGATTATATCAAGCGTATAAATCACCTTAATGAAAAAGTATAGTATTAAAGTTGAAAAAGAACTTCAATTTTTCCAAGAAAAATTATATGATAGATGATGGTTGACTGAGCATGAAGTTAAAAGATATTAATTCGATTCATAAAGTATTAATAGTGAAGAAAAAATATTAAAGTTATGATTAATAAAGGTAAAATTGTCTCCTGGCCACTTAAACTTGTAGCCGTTTGTCATTCCGGTATATAAACTTACACATTTTCCATTTGAGCACCTTTACTTGATGAACGGAGTACTAATAAACATGTTTGACCGTTGACTATGCTTACATGGCGACTGTATAGTTGACGTGGCCAAAATGCATGCGAATCACGTTAATTAGGCGCGTGAATGAATTAATTTGATTAAAAATATTATAAAATAAAAAAAGAAAGATAAAATCATGGGAAAAAAATAAAGAAAAGGTAAAAAAATGAAGAAACCCCTCCCCTGTTTAGTTCTTCATCCCTGTTTCGTTCCCAGCTTCCTCTCCCCTCCCTCCCTTCTGTTTCCCCCACCCTCAAACTCCTCCACAACCAGAAAATTATATCGATTTGGTTATTGCTCGTCTCTTCTTCTCTTCTTCTTTAAATTTTGGTGGCAAAGAGTAGTGAAATGGTGGCGTTTCAGATTTGTTTGGTCTATTGTTAGTGGGCTTGTTGAAAAGGAGGTGACGAAGATAAAGTGGTAGGGAAGGTGGCAGGCCGGTGGCAAAAAGGTGAAGCAGTGACGGTTTTGGGTGATTCTTTGTATGGTTGATGTTTTTTTCAGTAGCAATCTCGCCGGAGTAATTTTGCGGGTCTTTTCGAGAGTGTTATAACCATTTTTAGGCTTTTTTTTTTTTTTTACTGAGGTTTGATTAGAATCTGAAGGTTCAAATTTGACTTCTTACGATTGAAAATGATGGATTTACCAGGAAAAATGGTGGCTCAGTGTCGTCCTAGACGGAGAGAATGGACTGGAAATAAAACCTTTGTGAGTAAATTAATTTTTTAAAAAGTGGGACCCATAAATTACACATGGTAATTAATAAGAGGGTAAGTATGTGACATGTCATTTGTGTCATAGCGCTTGAGGACCACGCACAGTCATATGTGTTTATTAATGTGCAAATATATGAGTTAAGGTGCTAAAATTGTAAAAGTAAAGTTTATATACCATGATGTCAAATGGTTACAAGTTTAAATGGCTAGAAGGCCATGTTGCCATTAATAAATTAGTATGATAAAGAAGCTTCACATAAAAGTTAATTGTTTGAGATCAAATGAATTTGACTTTTTTCTTAAATCATCAAGATTGTGTAAAATAATAGTATTATTAATGAGATAATGTCAAAACTTTTGGGACGCTATGGTCATGTAATTGTGACGAATGAAGTATACATAGCAGTTCAATTCTTTGCCCACACATAAATTTGATCATGGCAAGACAGAGAAATTTTACCACTTCGGGTGGTTATAATTTCTTACAAACTCCATTAGAGTTATAATTAAACTTTGTTGTCTTGTATATAAAATTAAATTATAAAATGTCAAGAATTTAAAAGAGAAAAAATAAAGTAAAATACTTACCTTAAATCCAGAATTTAATCATGAAGGAAGTTCATGGAACAATTGACAACCATTATGCTCAATCCCAAAGCTTCTCCCCAATTGGTTAGAGTCTCGTGCTGATAACGTCTTATGAAACATAAAAGAAGAAGAAGATTGCAGAGCAAAATAAGGAGAGAATTCTTATTGATTTGGGATGAATTACAATGGATATGACCCCTCTATTTATCGGGAAAGAGTTACATAGCCACCAAGTAAAATCCCTAAAATCTCTCTAAAATATAGACATTCACCATAAATAATATTCTATTTATAACACTCCCCCTTGAGTGTCTATTCAATAGATAATGTGCCTCGTTAAAACCTTAACTAAAATAAAATCCAGTGGGAAAAAAAATCTAGAGAAGGAAAAAGAGTACACATATTTAACAATACGCTTTTGGGGTGCCTCGTTAAAAACATTGCAAGAAAAATCTAGTGGGACAAAACCTTATAAGAGAAAAAGAGTACAACGCGTATTAACTCTCCTTGATGATAGAATCAATTCACATCTTTGAGCCTTCGCATCCCAGTATTGTGCACTAGCTTCTTGAAGGTTGACGTCGGGAGAGATTTAGTGAATAAATCAGTCATATTAACTCCAATGAATATGTTGCACCTTGAAAATTCTCGCTATCACATTATCATGCTTATAGTTATAGCAAGATACAAATTGCACTTAGGATATGGTACTTCAGGACCGAGAATTGTATATGCTTTAAGCGATTTAAATCCTTCAAGGATAGTTATATAAGTTAAGTTAAATAATAGACTTTAGATGCATATCAAGTTTGCATGTCATGCTAAACATATAAGATAGATAAAAATAACTGCATACATCATTGACTTTATACTTTCAAGTGTTTGAACTACATGTCCAAAACTACATGCCTTTCATATGAAACCAATTCTATTCGAATTGTTTCTCCAGACTTAAGATCTTCATTCATGTTTTCAGGTACCTGAAACTCTCTTGAGATTTTATGAAGTATTATGTCATGTGATCTTCTAGATCACTTGCCTCCTTATTATGATCATTTTGATCATTTGCTCATCTTCTTTATCAAGAATTTTTTTTAAAACCGATTTTTCTATGCGCTTTAAGTGTACCACAGGCTTTGTCCTTCTAGGACTTATTCTAATATGAGCATTTGCAGTGAGAATATAGATACTTTCTTTGGGTCAGCAAATGCGTCTGGCACGCTTTGCAATATATTGCAGATGAATTATCTTTTTATGAACTTCAAATTCATATTATCTTATTCGAGGATCTAGATGTACAAATTATAATTCATTCCACGTAACTTTTTCTCAATTGTTGTATCATGTCTCCCCCTCATGTTAGAAAAACTAACTTGCTTCCTCAACTATGAAACCCATCTTTGTGCTTTATGGTGTTAATCAAAATATACACCACACATCAATAATAATAAGATGAAATTATTTGGTTCCTGGCCCTGAACCACTTGTGAGGGGAGGATGTAATATACTTTCATATATAATGTATATCAAACTGGTTATAGATAACTTCGTTCTCATAAGTAATAGTTTAGCTATTAAGTGGAGGCACTCAATAATTATTTTGCTAAACCAACTGTGATGTAAACCAACTTATCAAGATGAACCATCTTGAGTAAAAAAATTGGAAATTATGCTCGAAAATAAATTATTGAGCAGTTACCTATCAAAACACCATGTTGCGGGTTAATAATAATTGCACATGTAACCATCTCATAGATGCATCTTATGTGGTATACATGGCAGGTGAATGGGCCCATATTCACCTTTGATATTTCCAGCATTCATGGGATTCAACCCCAATTTTAGTTGGTATGTTAATTAATGAGAACAAGCAACATAAGAGAATCAGTAAAACTTTCTAGTTCTTTAATATTTCCCATGTGAATTCTCTTTTAGTTTTGCACATTAAATTGATATGGCTAAATCAATTATGCCAACTGGATAAATTATCAATATTAGTAAACTTCAGGTTTACACATGACATGTGTAATTATCAATAAATTCCAAGTTTATTATGATATGGGTTTTTATATCAATAAACTTCTACTTTATTGTATCATTCTTTTATTTGTGTAGTACAAAATAGAGAATAAGCGGGTAATTTTTTACATACATATTACCCCGCTACAAGTCGTAGTAATAGAAGATATTAAATCTTTCCTTTATTTATAGTCTCAATTTAACCAACCCTTTCGCGAATACTTTAGAAACTCGATTAAGTTTCTTTGAGACTTACTACAACACAATGCCTTATTGATAATCAATTTTATTCCTCCAAAATAGTAATAATTGACTCTTCCAGGAGCTCTCAATTAATTTGGTACTACCACATATTCATCAACATCCATATGGTGAATATCTCTTTCACAGAAAAAGTTATACCATTATGGTCATGGTCAAAATCATAATAGGCAAGATATGTTGCTTCTATTAATTTTGCCTGTAATAATTACATTGCCATAATATTCTGGCATAATCACAATAGGTACGTGATCAATGATCATTCATGCTATAATAAAGAAATTATTTTCTTATTTCATCTCAAACCTCATTCTAGAAGTGAGTGTGGTATATTCACTACCACTAGCACGTTCATATTCTTCCAAGAATGTATATGTATTTATAAATCATATGGTGTCACATTAACATCATGAATGGACCATAATCATCTATATGTGCTTTACGAAATCTCATGTCAAACCGATAACAAATATTACTTTCACAAAGTGAAGGATTATTTTGAGAATCCTTATTGTTCTCATTACCACAATGATGACGATTATAATTTCGTCTATTGCCACGTCCACATCCATTGATACATTCATAGTAATAATTTTATCTTCTTTCAGTCTTATCACATACTGCTATCACATTCTCTTAAGGGAATGAGAATGAAGCAAATTTAATGGGACGGGTTTTCAATTCTTTGCCCACACATGAATTTGATCATGGCAAGACAGGGAGATTTTACCATTTCGGGTGGTTATAATTTCTTACAAACTCCATTAGAGTTATAATTAAACTTTGTTTTCTTGGCTTGTATATAAAATCAAATTATAAAATGTCAAGAATTTAAAAGAGAAAAAATAAAGTAAAATAATTACCTTAAATCCAGAATTTAATCATGAAGGAAGTTCATGGAACAATTGACGATCATTATGCTCAATCCCAAAGCTTCTACCCAATTGGTTAGAGTCTCGTGCTGATAACGTGTTATGAAACAATAAAAGAAGAAGAAGATTGCAGAGCAAAATAAGGAGAGAATTCTTATTGATTTGGGATGAATTACAATGGAATATGACCCCTCTATTTATAGGGAAAGAGTGACTTAGCCACCAAGTAAAATCCCTAAAATCTCTCTAAAATATAGACATTCACCAATAATAACATTCTATTTATAACAGTGACAAAGTTATAAATTTTTGTACACAGTCATGTTAGGGTGATACGCCATTCAGTAAACTAAGAGCCCATTTGGCCATGAAAAAAATTTCACTTTTTTCCGAAAAAATTTCATATTTTTTTGAAATGGGTGTTTGACTATAAAATTTTCAGTTTTCACTTGGAGATGAATCTTTTATTTTTCGAAAATTTGAAAAACTCCAAAAAGCTATTTTTCAAAAAATTTCGCTCAAATCAATCACAAAACTTCAAAAACAACCCAAAATTATATTCAAGTCCAAATACAACTCTAATTTTCAAATATCATTTTCAATTAAAAAAGAATTCGCTTTTTCCGAAATTTTACAATTCTTATGTCCAAACGCCCACTAAATGTATATAAGGGGAAATGATTTTTTTTCAAATGTTTCATTACAAAGCTCCACTTCTCATGCTCCTCCATTCATCTTTTCCATCCTCCGAGACGGGGTGAGGATTCCCACCCTGTCTTTGTATGTTTAACAAAATGAAAGATCAAATTTCCTCATTACCATAATGATGATGATCATTATGCAAAATTAAGATCAAGAAATCAGAAAACAGGCCTGAAATTAAAGACCCTTAATTGGGTTTCAAACATGAGCAATGCCCCGGCTTTAAGAGCCAATTTAGTTTGTACTTCATTCAATCAGATCAATTCTAAAGGTTTATTTGTTGGTGATGATCCTCTTGATTATTCTGTTCCTGCTCTCTTATTGCAGCTTTCTCTCATTTCTGTTTTCACTCGCATTATCCAATCACTTCTCAAACCTCTTGGCCAACCCCTCATTGTTTCTCAGATTCTCGTAAGTGTATATATATATATATATATATATATATATATATATATATATATATATATATATATATATATCCCTTTCCTGATATGGTTCGAGGTATATTGATTGGTTGACTGATATGGTTCTTTTATGATTTTTTGTTGTATGTTAATTGGAATTGAATTTGTGAATGTTGTTGGTAATCTGTTTTTTGTCTAAAAAATTGAAGGGCTGTGGGTCTGGCCTTTTTTGCTTTACCTAGTAACCACCTTACTTTACTATTACTTGTAATTTGCAGCTATTTGTTCTATTTTCTTTTTTTAGACTACCTAAAAGATATATCCACCTTGGCGTAACCGGTAAATTTGCTGCCATATGACCAGGAGGTCACGAGTTCAAGCTGTAGAACAGCCTCTTGCAGAAATGCAGAGTAAGACTACATAAAATAGACCCTTATGGTCTGGCCCTTCCCCGGGCCCCCCGCATATCGGAAGCTTAGCGCACCGGGCTGCCCTTAATTGTGAAGAACTTGTAAGATGGAGTTGTATTAAGTTAAAGAGGAATTATTACTTTAAAGTGCATGTAAGAATTTCATATATTTCCTTACGACACTGCCATAAATGTTTGAATGATAATCTATGATATGCAGTTGACAGTTGTTTTAAGATGGCCCTCTCTTGTTACATCTCTTTGATCAAGATATTCTATTAAAGAAATCCTAAATAGATGGTTTTCTGAAGTACATTGATCAATATTGTTTACTAACTTGTTGTTGAACAGGGTGGTGTGATACTCAGTCCTTCGATCATTGGGAAAAATGGAGAACTTTCGTCTAAAGTATTTCCTAGTAAAGGCAGATCAGTACTGGATACAGTATCAGTCTTTGGTTTCATGCTTTTCATTTTTCAGATTGGAGTTAAGATAGATCTCAGTATTATTCTAAAATCTAGTAGAAAAGCTTTAGCTGTAGGAATTTTGGGCTTCTTTGTTCCTTTTGGACTCGCCAGTTTCACGGCGTTTCTTCTTGAAAAGTTTCTATCTTTGGATAAAGAACTCATCACTCTGCTTTCAAGGGTAGTGATTTTGCAATCTATGACAGCTTATCCTGGTATTGCTTGTTTTCTTGATGAGTTGAAGATTCTTAACTCGGAGATAGGACGTTTAGCTTCTTCGTCTTCGATTATATGTGATATTTGCCAGTGGACTATTTTAAGTCTAAAGTATGCGTTAGAGTTAGCTAAGGCAAAATCAGTGAGAGTAACTTTGGGGTCATTGGTGTCTGGTGCTCTTTATATCCTTGTTATCGCGTTTGGAATTCGTCCTGCAATCTTATGGGCAATCAGACAAACGCCAGAGGGGAAACCTGTGAAAAATATTTATGTTTTTGCGGTACTTGTTCTACTATTATGGTGTGGTTTCACTGGTGAAGCGATCGGCCTTAGTTCTATTGTGGCCTGTTTTCTTTTTGGATTGGTGATACCAGATGGACCGCCATTAGGTTCTGCAATAGTTGAAAGACTCGATTGCTTTGTGTCTGTGCTGCTTATGCCTCCCTTTTTCACCATATGTGGACTGCAAATGAATGTCTTTTCGATTGTAAGGTTGAGAAATGTAGGTGTGCTTCAGTTGGTTGTCTTAGTTGCTTTTATTGGAAAAATCATGGGAACATTATTGCCCCTTCTTTTCTGGAGAGTGCCACTACGCGACGCCTTCTCTCTTGCTTTGATCATGAACTCAAAAGGCATTATGGAACTCGCTTTCTTGAATGACTTCAAAAAGAACAAAGTAAGCACCTATACTCTTTTTTGAGATATTAATACTGATAAACATGAAGGGGAGCTTTGGCGTAACTGGTAAGTTGCCGCTATGTGACCAGGAGGTCACGAGTTCGAGCCATGGAAACAATATCTTGCACGAATGCAGGGTAAAACCGCGTACAATAGACCCTTGTGGTCCGGCCGTTCCCCGATCCCCGCGCATAACGGGAGCTTAGTGCACCGGGCTACCTAGATTGTAGAATTATCGTTTATTCTACATATGAAATTGGCCTACTCATTAATGTATTTCTAATGCAGGACATGTCTGAAGAAAACTATACAATCATGCTAATTTCAGTGGTTGTTATAACAGGAGTTATATCGCCTCTTGTTAAAGTTCTTTATGATCCTTCAAGAAGGTACATAGCCTACAAAAGGAGGACAATAATGCATAGCAGAGATAACGATGAACTTCGTATACTTGCCTGCATACACAGCCAAGAAAATGTTCGCGCAGTCATCAGTTTACTTCAAGTCTCTAACCCTACAAAAGAAAGTCGTGTTAATTTGGTTGTCCTTCATCTTACTAAGCTTACAGGCCGTGCCTCTTCAGTCCTCGTAGCACATCGGAAACGTGACAAGCCATCTCTGAATCCAACGCAATCGGAAAGAATCTTCAATGCCTTTGAAAAATTTGGACAACAGAACAATGACCTTATCATGGTACAGTGTTACAAAGGGATATCACCTTATGCAACAATGCACAATGATGTTTGTTCTCTTGCTTTAGAAAAGAGAACAACTCTTATCATTGTCCCTTTTCACAAGCATTGGATCTTTGAGAAAAGAATTGAAACATCCTATGCATATAGACATCTAAACAAGAATGTACTTGAGAAAGCTCCTTGTTCAGTTGGGATACTTATCGATCGAGGAAGCACGAAAAAATCCCGCTATGCAATCACAGTTCCTTCATTGTATAGAGTGGTGGTCCTTTTCTTTGGGGGTGCAGATGATCGCGAAGCTTTATCATATGCAGAACGAATGTCCGGACATCCTAGTGTACAAATGACACTAATACGATTCACACGATCAAGTTCCTCCGAAAACATTGTTGGTGGCACGGAACGAAGTAAGGTTCTTGATACTCAAATCTTGAGTGAATTTAATCACAGATTTCTTCGTTCGGAACAAGTTTCCTATCAAGAAGCAGAGGTGAATAGGGGCGCGGACGTGTTAGAAGTTATTAAATCATTGGGAAATTTTTATGATCTTGTTATGGTTGGTAGAAGACATATAGACTCACCAATTTTATTACAATTGACAAAGAGGAACAATGAGGATGGTGAATTAGGGTTTATAGGAGAATTACTTGCAGCCTCAGATATTGAAAGTGAGACTTCAGTTTTGGTGATGCAACAACAAACAAGATTATGGGGGCTCCATGACCCTGAAGAGTCTACACATTTGAGAAGGATCAGCTTATAGTTGTATACACTACGCCAATATGACTTGTTTTAATGGTAAACATTCACCTGCATCAGATGTTTACGCCAAACTAATAGGTGAATGATATGTATTTGTTGATAGACTTCTCTCACTTACAAGGGCAGCCTGGTGCACAAAGCATCCGCATTCATGAAGGATCCGGGGAAGAGCCGTATCCCAAGGGGTATGATGTAGACAATCTATCCTAATGCAAGCATTAGTAGTTGCTTACACGGGTCGAACGGGTGGCCTATAGGTCACACGGAGATAACTTTACCGTTGTTCCAAAGCTCTCCTTCACTTATCATGGTTAATTAATTCATATTTCTATCTGATAAGATCACTTAACCATGATATGGTGTATAAACCTGGTGAGGATAAACTCTTACTCGTTTTAATACTCTTTTTGTCACAATTTCTACGACATTTTTCCCTTTGGGGATGTCCAAAATGCTCCATTCTACTAATACTATCATTTTATACGACTTTTACAAATTCATTAAACTATAGTTTCTAAATTTAAACTGATGTTTTATCTATTGAACCCATCACCTTGTTCGAGTTATCATTTCATAGCTCAAATTTTTCAGCAATTTTAGTGAATTTTATACAGAAAATCCAAGTCTAGATTGAACCCATAACTAAACTGTTGGATCTGCCCTGGTCACTTTCCTAATACTAATCAAGTTTGTTTACCGAAAATTTGAAAAATAGAGGGAGTAGTTTTTCACTTACTCGATTATGTCAACAATATACGCCTCTGATCACGCCCAACTATGCCTTATAAAAAGGACAAGCGGTCGTTGCAAATATAATCTGAGTATTTAGCCCAGAGTCGAATCCACAGGGAATTAACCTACCAATTACTCTTGTTAGACTCACTAAATTCTTCGTAATCAACTTCCCAAATATTTTGAATAACAATTGGTGATACTTTTACTAACTATAACTAAACGAAATTAAGTAAACTAAAAACTAACTATGATTGAGTTGCAAAAATTAAGAGAAGGATCTAAGGTTGTGATTTCCCCTATTGATAGAATCCCTTCCTGTTATGTTTCATATAGATTTGCATAATCGTCTCTATTGATCATGAGCACTCTTACTACCGTAAATCTCTCCCGAGTAATTACAACAATTTACTAGACGCACTATCCCGAGTTACGCTAGCTGGCTTTTATTACAGCTCACTTTAGATCGCACCCTAGGCTTCGTTATCCCTAATCCCTCCTTTAAACCCTTGGTTATTGATTCCTCATATACTTTGGGAGTGGTGTTGTTCAACAATTACCTAAATATGCACTCTCTCCCGAGTAATACATACTAAATAGGCACAGCTAATTGAGGATCCTATCAATTAACTACAACAAGAACGTAATTGAACAAATAGAGATTAAACCGGGGAAACTATATTAACATAACACGAAGTTCATCCTTCAACAGGTTCCATCAAAACCCTAGACTAAATAATTAGCTACTCATAAACGTGTTCATAATAGCAGCCAAATTCATCATAAATGATAAATACAAAAGGAAGAAAGATAGAACTCGATGTCGAATTATCCTCCTTGCCTCTTGCCTCTTCTTGCCTTCAACTCAATTGTAAAAACCTTGATAATCTCCCTTTGGGCGAGCTGGACCTCTTATAGGTTAAGTGGAATTACCCCGCACTTCCAAGTTTACCCCTGAAATTATTTGCTCCGAACTGGACTAGCGCGGCCGCGCTCGTGCCCGCGCTAATGGCCGCGCATATAGCATAGTATTCTGTCTCGAGTTTCTGGACTAGCGCGGCCACGCTAAGCTGGGTCATCATTTTAGCTCTTCTTTTCTCTCTTCTTTCACACGTACTCAGCTTCGAGGGGCTTCCCTTGCTTTAATTTAGCTCCAAATACTGTCCTAAGTTCTCATAAGCGCAACTCGCTCCTGCAAAATATGAAACTCACAATTAGAGCCAATTTATCGTCATTTAACTATCCTAGAACAGTGAAGCATAGTCAAGTTGGGGCATAAACAGTCGCTAAATTACATGAATCTAGCCTATTATCAACCTCCATATATGTACAGGGTGAATTTTTTTTTTGTGGAATTAGATCGCGGCCAAGCCAAAATCTACTCCTAATAAGTTGCTGGATTGAAGTAGTACGTTATGCATCCACATGTCAACAACAAAGGGAACAGAAAGCCGTCTTTCAATGCCTACCCGAAAAGAGGGACAAGTTCAAGTTTATGCACGTAATAGTTGCGAGCCTAAAATCAAATGCAGTTCCAACTTAAAATCACCCGTTAAACCATCCTACTTGTAAACAAGGCTGAAGTTTGAGAGTCCAAGTAAGATTTAATAAAGATGATTTAATTGAATTCTCTTTGTCAGAAAATTATATAATGTGTTGAATATTCTTGACACTCATGCCATTTCATTTTATGTGATCTCCGGTTCGACTAGATAAGAAGTTTAAAAAAGAAATAACGAATTTTAATTATTTTTTTAATCTTAAACGTATCATATCATTTGTGTGGTAAAATCTGGTCATTAAGTATAAAATGAAAATTTTAAATTAAGTTATTTCAAAATTTAGTAAGTAAACGAGAGAGCATAAGGGAAGTTTTCAGTATAGTGGTTGAAGGTGATTTAAAAGTTATTTTAGGTTGCATATTCAAATCCAAGTATGATATTCTTACATTTATTTTTAAATTCCCTTAATAGAATTCCTGAATCCGTCACTAAAGTCAACACAGTCAAATCAAGATATAATACAAAAACTTCTTCTTGCATAGAATACTATTGAGAAAATCAATCCAAGTTCTTCCTTGGGAACTGGTGAGGTGATTTGTGTACTCAGGTTTACTAATCTTTTTGATCCCAACATATATACTTCTTTATTTTTAAATCTCAACGCCAAAGTTGTTGGAATCGATTATCGAAAAATTAGAAATGGTTAGAAAATTTATATTAATCGCATACGGGCTCTAACCATATTTTGACTTGTAATTAATCCATAAATATCGATAAAAATAAATAGCCACTCAAACCAAGTACATGTTCAAGAATCACCAAACAATTTTTTGTCAATCTCTCAATCCCTTTTAATATGAACAAAAATAGTACGGACTAGCCAGTTTTCGGACTGGTAATTGAAAAATAGCCAGCGTTTGCAAAGTCATTGAAAAATAGCCACTCTTTTGCTGCAACACGAAAAGTTCCAGCATGATATACTGGAGATTGGTGCACCTGTGTATGATTTTCCAGCATATTATGCTGGAACTCCAACACGCAAAAAGTTCCAGCATAATATACTGGAGATTGGAGCACCTGTGTATAAACTTCCAGTATATTATGCTGGACCGGTATATTATACTGGAATATACTGGAGTTCCAGTATAATATACTGGAAATCCACTATATTATCCTGGAATATTTTCCGGGTGTTCTCGTTCAGATTTATCTTTACATGAAAAGTGGCTAAATTTCGATTACTTTTAAAACTGTGGCTATTTTTCAATGACCACTTATAAATCTGGCTATTTTTGAATTTCTCCCTAATTTTACCGGTTTAATTGACTAGTAATATATAACAGGTAGTAAACTTAATTATAATGTACTTAAAGAACACTTTGCTAGCTATTTGGTCAAAGGGATAACAAAAAAACTTGATCCAGTGCATAACCTAAGATTTTAGGTGAAGGGTCGATTAATGTTGTGATATATATTTTTGATGGATCAAAAAATAAAATGGGATCTTTACACAGGTCGATTTACGATTACTTTTCTTAATAGATATATATAAATTATACGTTGATTATATATTATTATAGATATATTACACATGAGTTATAATATCTGCCAATTATTTTTAGTTTAAACAATTGGGTGGCGGCTTATTTTAGAATTAACAAAAAAGCTTGATCCAATATATAATCTCTAGGTTCCAAAACCCAAAAATGTTTTTTTTATAAGTCTAAAATTTTGGTGATGGGTCGTATTAACACTGTATACGAATATTACACATAAATTATATACATATATCTTATATTTGCTAATTATTTTTAATTTAAGTAATTGGATGTACGACTATATATCTAAGATGATTCTTCAAAAATGAAAAGAAAAACCATCCTACTAGCTATAACGAGACGAAGGTGACGATAAATGCAAGCTCAGTGGCGCACACACCAGCTTCAACCAAATGGAATCATCTTACTTGCCATATTTTCTTAAAAAAATAATACTTCTCTCTATATATATAAATATATACACAAAAAATAGGATGACACCATTAGAAACTAAGACAAAATATCCATTATTGTGTGAAGGAAGACGTTTTAGAATCCACAACTCCAGCTCTAATCTAACTTATATTCAAGTTAAACAAGTTAAATTGTAATAATAAGTCGATATTGCTTGCATATAATTTAACTCATATATAATAGGTTCAACTAACATTAAAAAAATTTAAATGTTGAACTCTTAAAATTTAAATTGTAAATCCGCCTTGTATGATTCTCGAGAAAAGTAAAGCGAGTCTTGGAGCAACAGTAAATGTTGTTTCCGTATAACCTATCTGACACGGGTTCAAGCCGTAAAAATAACTAATAATATTTATATTAGGATAAATTATTTACACTTCTAGCCGTAATGCGAGATGCTTTGTTCATCGCCCTTTATGATTTCCAAAAAAGATTGTACGATGGCTTGGAATTTGAGAAAGACAGGAGGGGATGAAGAAGTAGTGGAAATAAGAGAAAAGGGTGTGGTGGAGAGAGGGAATACATGTGAAATCTGAGCCATAATATTTTGTTTAATGGTATTTTGCCAGCTAGTTTAATTAATTATTCAGTAATTCTTATTATTATAAATATTATTTATTTTCGGTTGTAACGTGGACTCGTCGCCTTGCGGCCTGCTTTTGGATGTATGCATGCATGTATTACTGTACGTTTCCATTATTTCAAGTCATCGATGATTGGAATTAATGTGGGTTGGAGCGTTTTTTGTCCCCATCGTTACTTCAATAATTTTGTAACACTCTAAAGTTGATTTGTCATCCAAAGGTGGATATCGTATCGGATTTATTTGAATTCAATATTTTTAACGCGTAATGTGAATTTATATATAATTATTTATTAAAATGGCAATAATAAGTCAGTCTGACCCATAATTTAAACATAAAATAGTTATATATTAAGAACCTTATAGGAGCTTAAATTCTAAATCCACTTTTAGTATCATCTATCTTCTTCTTTTTTTCAAACCTCTGATATTTGAAATTTTCTGTCCGATTAATTTAGATTCATGTAGTATTGGATTTGTGAAAATAGCACGGGATAGCCAGTTTTTGGACTGGTCATTGAAAAATAGCCAGCATTTGCAAAGTTATTGAAAAATAGCCACTATTTTGCTGCAACACAGAAAATTCCAGCATAATATACTGGAGATCGATGCACCTCTGTATGAACTTCCATCATATTATGCTGGAACTCAAACAGACGAAAAGTTCCAGCATAATATACTGGAGATTAGAGCACATATGTATGAACTTCCAGCATATTATGCGGACCAGCATATTATACTGGAACTTTAATATACTATGCTGGAAGTCCAGTATATTATACTGGAAGTCCTGTATATTATACTAGAACTCCAGTATATTATGCTGGAATATTTTTCGGATTTTGAACAGTGTTTTCGTTCAGATTTATCTTTATATAAAAAGTGTCTAAATTTCGATTACTTTTGAAACTGTGTCTATTTTTCAATTAGCACTTATAAATCTGGTTGTTTTTGAATTTCACCCATTGGATTCATTTAAGGCCCAAATTCGCTTTGCATAGAATCATTTAAGAGGAAAACACTCCATATTAAGAAGTTTTTTATTTCATCCTATCACATTCCTAGGTGGTGATGTGTCATTTATTAAGCTAGCATAGAATATTATATATGTACATATCCATGGAAAAAGTTCATAAAAGACTTTATATTGAACACAGGTGATGGGAGATATAAATATCTAAGATATAAAAAGGTAAAGGTTGGAGTTATATTCCAATGGAGTAATTTAGTTTCTTTTTTTTTTGGTCGAAATGGAATATATTACTAGCTAAGATATTGCTGTTACACTAGAGCTACTTGGGTATCGTTGGGTACCTAGTTCTGCAATATTGTGCAGTATAGTATCAATATTACAACCCAAAAATAATCTAGGCAATTCAGTTCCTAGGGTGTCTGCCCACACTATATCATTGACAAACACCGGAGGAACTGCCAAAACTACAGATCTGTTCCAAAATATTTTTTTTACTGCTTCCTTTGCCAGTGCATCAGCAACTCTATTTTGCTCCCTGAACGCGTGCCTTACCACCACCCTGCCCATCCTTTGAATCAACAACCTGCATTCACAAATTAGAAGGTCAAATATCAAATTACCTTCTGTTAACATGCCAATTATTTCTGCAGAATCTGTGTCTATGTGTAGTGGTAGAAGGTTGTTTTGCTCTGCGAGCTGGAGTCCTTTTATGAGTGCTCGAAATTCAGCTTCTAGAATGGATATATGAGGGATGTTTTCCATGTAACCCAGTATCCAGTCACCATTGTGGTTTCTGAAGATTCCCCCTATTCCACCTATTCCAACTTTGCCTTTGATTGCACCATCTGTATTTAGTTTGAAGCAACCCCTGGGTGGGGGTTTCCATTTGAGCATCATTTGGTGTGTGCATGTGTTATTGCTGCTCCCTTTGAGCAGTTGGAATTCAGTGGCTTTGGCAATAGTGTTCTTAGCATTGATAAGCTCTCTTTTATTGTTGAACACATTGTTGTTCTTTGTTAGCCAAATGTGCCAGAGGCAGAAGGGAATGAGAACTGCCCAGTGCAGGTGTTCATTAAAATTTCCTCCTTTGGTGGCTGGCCATACTGTCTGCCAGAGGTGGGTGCTGTTTAGTGGGTTTGTAGGAGGAGGGGATGTAGATTTAGACCTGATGGCATTCCAAAATTGGGCAGCATTTGGGCAGACGAAGAAGATGTGATCAATATCCTTTTGCCCAACATTACAGTACTGGCATAGAGTTGGACAATTGATTCCCATAGAGCTGAGCATAGTTCTGGTAGGGAGTTTCCTGTGGGTTAGGGACCAGATGAAGAACTTTATCTTGTTAGGGACTTGTAGCTTCCACAGCCACTTGAAGTTTCCCAAATCCCCTGGAGGGCTCAGTTGAGCACTGTTGTGAATGAATGAGTAGGCTGAGTTCTGAGAGAACTTCCCATTTGGAGTGAGATCCCAGATTAGTGTATCTTCCTTAGTTGTAACACTAGGGATAAACACTGAAGTGATGATGTTAAGGATGTGGGGTGGGAGATCAAAGGAGAGGGAGCTTGTGTCCCAAGCTCCTCCATTATGGATTGAGTTCACCTTGGCCAGAAGGTCCCTATTTGTCAGGGGTCCCTCAATTAGATGTCTAATAGCAGGTTGGTTGGGGATCCATGGATCATTGAAGAAGCTCACCCTATTGCCCTTATTCACAATCCATGTACTGGCCTTCCTGCAAGTTTCCCAACCACTTAGCATGGCCCTCCATGTGGGTGACTTGTTACTGACATGGTGCCTCCCAGCATTGGCAGGCCTATGCAAGTTACAGTTCTTGTGGATAAGGACTCTAGCCCAGAGGCTGTTTGTATTAGTGTAGGCTCTCCATGCCAGACTAGCTAATGCAGCTTTGTTTTTGAAACTAGCTTTATGGATCCCTAGCCCCCCCCCCCCCCCCGAGCCTTGGTTTTAGTCACTACCTCACTTAATCATGTGCATTTTCTTTTTTTCTTGAGTGGTTCCCCAGAGGAAGTTCCTCTGAATCCTATCAATTCCTATATTGCTTAAGTGTAAGGTTCCAATCTTAACAAAGATCATTTCAAATCTCGATAGATCACTTTTCTTCTTCTGTAATTCTCCTCTCGTACTATTCGCTGCTTCCAAGACCACACAGTGTGGGATAAGATTGGGTATGTTATTGTAATAGATGCAAAATGACATGTAATTTGTTGTGACTGTCAATATAAAGTAGAGATAAACAGACTTACAAAAAGCTTCACATAACTTGTGTCAATGTGATAAACATATTTAAGAATTTTAATCTTAGTTGAGATGTTGATAATTACAGATAGAACTTTTTGCCAAAACATAAAGCTGCAAGCCGATTAAACATCCACCGAAGCTGGTTATTACTTTGACCAACATTACACATGGTTATTTATGATACTATGATTGCTATACATACTTAATTTAACTCTTTGTTAAATAAATAATTGATTAATTTACATTAGAAGTTAGAAGGAAATTGTCAACATCTTTTATTTATCAATTAAATTAAACTTTTTTATGTTGTTAGTGTAATGCCTTTATATATTCAGTGTAATTTAACCTGTTATAATAAGTTACTTATCATTTAATCTAGATTATCAATCAATGTTATTAAATAATTTACTTATAATTATTTTTTAGATGACCTGATTGTGTATATACTTTTTTTAATAGTCAATAAATAGAATACAAATACCTTATTATGTTTATGATTTTAAGTTTATGATCACTTAAGCCTATTGCAGCCGGTTATGATCACTTTGACCATCATTACACATGGTTATAAATAATAACTCTATGATTGCTAGAGATTATTAACTGTTTGTGTAGCTTGGCAAGCCGTCCCTTATGGGTTGTTGAAGCCAGCCCCCTTTGTAGGGAAACTTTCGTATTTATGATTTAGTTTGCTTTCCTGGAGTCTCTTGCTCTGTTCTTTATACTACTGTATGGAAAGGTACCAGAAAAACCATAATAGTTCTTGTGGAAAATCCTTGGCTTGTGGATCATTAATTGCTTTACACTAGGAGTAAGAAGGAAATTTGTGTTTTTTGGTTTTCTACTCGATATATTGTATTAGTTGAGGTCCATTTAAATCTGAATTTGTATCGAAAAATTTCATATGATAAAGTGCTGCCTAATAAAAGTGATTGCATACCTTGCTCGAACTCGAAATCTATAATTAAAGATGGATTCTTTTTGCTGGACTTACATAAAAGGAAGGCGCCACCTAAAAGCGTAAAGTTTTAAAAAGAAAAAAAATACACCACAACCTTTATTGCTAGGAAAGAAATTGTTTACTAAGCTAACTATCAAAACAATCATTGACATCCATCTATTTTATTAGATGACAGCTAAATGACCAGAATATTAAGTTTGATATATAAAGAAAGAGAATACATTGAATAGTTCCATGCCCCCCCCCCCCCCCCCCAATTTGGCCTACATAGGTGCCCGTGACATGACTCCAAAACCTACTTCGAGATCATCCTAATCTAATAAACATTAATCCCAAAGCTAATTATGCTTTATATTTGACAATAAAAATATTAATCCCAATCTGCAAAATGAAGGACAATAGTGCAAAGAATTGTTATACATCCACACAACTGCGGATCAACAAAGGGTATCATCGAGGTCGACAAAAACCTAGTATTTTAGTGTCGAAATATATATACGCGTGAAAAAGAAATATACATTGAATTTGATATGCAGTTTAAAAATCAATACTCGAACCTACATTATGTCTAAATTTTAGATCTGCCACTGCTCCTATACATCAAAACTATACCCTTTACTTTAAATGAGATGAAAATTGACTTATTTGCTTTGAGCTTGGGATCAAAAAAGAATAATTACAATTATAACAACAAATAAGTTATATTGAAGCCCCATAAATTTACAAGAAAGAGGAAAAACAAAAAGATACTTTTCAAAGTACCATTTCCTCATTTTGAGTACAACTTTCAAATTCACTCTCTATCTCTCTCTTGTAAATTTCCTTAGGCTAAACATTGCTCTTAATCCAAATCTGCTATTATTACATGCAGATGGAAAATAAAAAAATAAAAAAAGAAAAGAAAATATATCCAGAAAAATGAAAAAAAAAAGAAAAAAAAGAAGAGGAAATTACCCTTCAAAAGGGTAAACAAAAAAAGGTTTGGTTTTTCCTCCAAAATATGTATCAGAAAAATAACTTTCGTCGTACCAAACACGCTTAGTCCTCTGAGATGCTCTCAAGATGAGGCTTCCATATAGCCACCTTACCGCTCCGGCGGTCCCTACGTGACGACGACTTCTTCATTTTCGGCGTCGTATCATCGCTTAAATCCCGGTCACCGTCGGGGATGCTGACGTGGCATTTCTTGATTTTAATACTTTTGGATGATTTCTTGATGGGGTTGCCGGATTTTTTCTTCTCCGGCACGGAAGCTGCCGGAATCAAGAAATATATACTACCCCTTTTGAGCTCGGATTCCGGCGACAAGATCAAAATCCGGCGAGCCATTGTACCTTGAGAACATGGTTTACTCAAAATATGATTTGGATAATTTTTCAAAACTTCAGAAGCTGTGATTGGACTTGTAATTTCTTCTACATGTCCATTTAAGTGTACAATACGAATTAAATCTAGAGCACCACAAGGAAGAACACAAGCCAAACAACACCTTAGACTATTTCCCATATCTTTGATTGATAGGATTAATCAATCAAAGTTTTGAGAAAGAAAAAAGAGTGTCTTTTTCTCTCTTGTTTGTGTGTGTGTGTGTGAATGTTGTTGAATTGATGGATGTGAAGGGCCATGTTATATAGCAATATTGCCGTACTACTCATGGGGACAAAACAAACAATATTGTGCTTATTTTATGAAGTTTTCGGTTTAGTTAAATGACCAAATTGCCTTTGGATTTAACTCCTCCTCCATTTTATTGCAGTTTTATTAGCAAATATTTAAGGAAATTTCTTTTTAAAAATTTGTAACCTAAAACAAGTTATATAAATATTACGTGGCAATAAAGCATCTCATTAAATGTAATATTAAAAAAAGCAGCCTGACACATACGCATCCGCACGTTCATGCAGGGTTCGAGAAAGGACAGTGAAAACCCCTGGTCACTAGGCCATTTCCTATAGACTTACAAAAATCCGTGGTCATAGCCCGATGCACAAGTCATTTCATTTCTCATTGCTTTAGAGAAATGAGACAGATCGATTTTATAGTGAAAATCTGCAAAGGTTACTGCTGGTCGAAGGAGAACCCGCACTGCCATGGCATCAACACAACCCTAAGCAAAGGTGTTCGAAAGAGAAATGAGACCTATTCTAATACAAGCATTAAGGACTACTTCCACGACGAACATGTGACCTATAGGTCACACGGAAACAACTTTACAGTTCCATGGCTCTCCTTCATTAAGAGCAAAATTGAAAGTTAAAAATATCATTATTTCGGACATACTAAAAGAAAAATGCATCACACAAATTGGAACAGATCGAAGGAGTAACTTGTATACATGGATAATAAGCATATATTTCAATATATAACAACAAATAAGATTGTTTTATTTTTGAAGTCACTAATTGATTTATATACGGTCATTTATAGTTATAAATGTTCCATGGCTCCCTTTCATTAATAGTAAAATTAGAAGTTAAAATATTATTCTTTTTAGACTGAATAAAAGGAAAGTGCATCACATAAATAGAGACAGATGAAGTAACTTATATACATGGATAATAAGCATATATTTTAATATGTAACAACAGATAAGATTGTTTTATTTTTCAAGTCACTAATTTTACTTTTTATATACGGTTATTTATAGTTATATCTTAAATGACTTAATAGTGCAAAAAAAAAAAAAAAAAAAAAAAAAAAAAAAAATAAATAAATAAATAAATAAATTTCTTCAGAGCGCCAAGGTATAGAAATTAGTGCCTTATATTAAGATTTCTTTAATGGGAAAAAATATATTGATCATTGTACCATTATTTCTACGTATTATCTAACCTAGGCTGTCCTCATTGAGTATAATATTTTTGATAATAATATACCGGCATTTAGGTTTGTGGATTTCTTTTCTTTCTAGGTATTAATATATTCGTAAGGATAACGTTTGGCAGCTAGGTAGCTAATGAAAAAAAGACTTTCTATAATTAAAAAAAATGCAATAATTGTTGTTTGAATTTAGTTTATTTGGGTAAGGTTGGTGATGCAATTCTTGTACCATTCGTGCAAATTGTAAAAGAAAACTGAAAGAGGTCAAACTACTCTAATTCCTAATTGAGTTGAAGTTCTATGTATTAATTACTATCTAAAAATAGTTTACACAAAAAATTCGTCGCTTATAAGATAATTAAATGTATATCTCCAGAAAACATTAATTGATAAACTGATTAAAATAATTACAAACACTTTATTATAAGTTAAATAATATTAATACTATAAAAATCTTTACACTTACTTTTATAACTTGAATCTTTGCTAATTTAGTACTCTCTGTTTATTTTTACTTGTCCACTATACGAAAAATACATTTCACTTTTACTTGTTAATTTTAACAAACAAAGAGAAAATTGATTTTTTTCTTGTTTTACCCTTATCATTAACTACTTATTTCCCATATTATCTCTCAAAACTTCTTAAAATATTATCATTATTATGGATATTATGATAAAATATTTACTTTATTTATTATTTCTTAAGGGCATGCCAAACTATATGATAAACAAGTAAAATTGAACAAAGGAAATAATATGCGGTGATTAATGCATGAATGCAGTCAAAATAATATAGGAAATTAAAGTAAAACTTTGGCAGGAATCTTGTATCATAAGTATATTTTTTATTGCTTAATGTTATATTTCTTGTTTTTGGTGAATATTGTCATCAAGTGGCAGGCTATCCTTCATCTCAAGATTAGAGAAAAACTTTAAATTTTTACTATGTCGAATTCTCTTTCACCTCTTATACCCTTCAAGAAAATTGCTTATTTTGGTCATATTATCAACTTTTATTTAAGGTTCTCATATATCCCTTCAGGAAAAAACATTTAATTGCCGTATATATCGAGAGGCGGACCTACCTTTAGGGTAGGAGGGTCACCGCCCTCGATACTTTTAGAAGAAATATATGTATATATATCTTAAATAATAAGTATATATTTTGATCGGCACCTTAAGACTCAAAGTTTTAGGCAGCTGCAACAGTTAATTTGAGAGGCAAAACTTGACTTTTAGTGTGTTGCTTGAGTTTAATTCTCAAGCATTTGCTCAAATTTTTATTCGATAGTGGTGTGCTTGCCTCTTCGAATCCTAGGTCCGCCTTGTTGGGTTTTGGATATATTTAATTAATATATTAAATACTTAAAAGAGGGTGAATGGGAAATGGAGGGAAATGAAATTNATGTGAAGGGTAATTTGCCGTTATGCGATAGTAATAGTATTAATGGTTCGGTTCGGTTCGGCCGGTTATTTTATAAAATTTGAATCATATCAATTTTTCGGTTATTCTATTATGTATAGTCAAAATTAGACTTTTCAAAACTGTTCCAATCATGTCGTTTTCTCTTCGGTATCTGTACAGTTCAGTTAATTGTCGGTAATTTATTTTAAATATCATATAAAAATCACTAGTAGAAGTAGAATGCAAAAACATACGTACTTTTATTGAACTCAGCAAAACACTCTCTACATTTTTACTGTTTAAAGGGTGATGAATTAAGAAAACGTGAAATATGGCCAGAGTATAGATCCATCAACTATTCTACAGCAACATAAAAGAAACTAAGCAAAGACAGAAAAAAATATAAACCACACGAGTTAAAACTGTTGGGTTTTGGATGTATTTAATTAATATATTAAATACTTAAAAGAGGGTGAATGGGAAATGGAGGGAAATGAAATTTTTGAGTGAAATTTTAAGTTCCCCCCTTGGCAAAAGGGCATTGTCCCATATTGGAAGAGGAAGAGGTTTTTTATGGGTATATAAGCAATTGCTCTTCTTCTAGCTCTTAAAGAGTTGAGAAGAAGGCAAGCCTCGCGCCGTCGTCGTCGTCGCTCGCTCGGCTTCGGCTTCGGCTTCGGCTTCGGCTTCGGCTTCGGATTTGGTCAAATGATTGATTGATTAACTTTTTGGACCAAATTTATTTGTTAATAGTAAAATATTAACAGAAATGTTATTAAATATTTGTTTTAATAACAGAATATTAATATTAAATATTAATATTAAATCCAATCCGTTTTTCTGTTTTGGTAACAGAAAAGTAACTACCCTCTTCAATTTTCCCTCTTTATTTTCCCTCTTTATTATTGAGTAAATGGCCATTTATGTAATGGCATTTATGTTGTGGGCGTTTTGCATAAACAGCCATTCTGAAGAGACCCAACTTTGGCTATAAATACAACACTATTCTGCTCAGAATTTTAACTACAATTTTCTGAGTTTCCTCTCCTTCTTCTGCATACTTTTAGCATCAAAACAAAGCAAAAAGTAAGTGTGATTTGCTACCGAACTTTGTGTTCGCTGAAACACTGGGGTTTGAAGTACCACTACACCAGTGTGTAATTCGTTCTATCCTGGGAGGAAATAATCCATAACCTTGGGTACTAGGAGGGGATTAAATTCCTTAAGGAAACACTGTGAATTCAGTGGGCTCGAATTGGTTTATGTCATTTCTGTTTATATTCATTACTGTTTATATTCATTTATATTTCCAGAATTTATTTTACAAATACAGTGTAATAACAAGCTTAAGGAATTTAATAATTTATTTTCTGTATTTGTACTTACTGTTTCTGGAAGAGTAAAACCTTTGTGGTTTTGTACTCTATTAAAATCTACGTGATTTTAACGTTTGTGTCATTCTTTTACAGAAATGACTAATGAGAATGAGAACCAAGCGGTTCCAATGGTGACTGCCAATGCGTCAACAAGCCGAACGACACCGGCAGCATTGGCACCGGCGGAGAAACCCGGAAAATTTTCCGGGATTGATTTCAAGCGCTGGCAGCAAAAGATGTTCTTCTATCTGACTACTCTAAGTCTCCAGAAGTTCATCAAGGAAGATGTTCCTGTGCTGTCCGATGAAACTCCAGAAACTGAACGCTTTCTCGTAATTGAGGCATGGAAGCATTCAGATTTTTTGTGCAAGAATTATATTCTAAGCGGGCTGGAGGATGGTTTGTATAACGTCTACAGTGGCGTGGAAACGTCAAAGGAACTGTGGACTGCGCTTGAAAAGAAATACAAAACCGAAGATGCCGGGTTGAAAAAGTTTGTTGCTGCAAAGTTTTTGGACTACAAAATGGTAGATAGCAAGTCTGTTATTACCCAAGTCCAGGAATTGCAAGTGATTATTCACGATCTCCTTGCTGAAGGTATAACTCAATTTAATATTGATGTTGAAAGTAGTAATCTTAGTATTTTTACTAATAGAAATTTCATTGAAGGTCTTGTTATCAATGAAGCATTTCAAGTAGCAGCGATGATTGAGAAGTTGCCTCCTTTGTGGAAGGACTTCAAAAACTACTTGAAACACAAACGCAAGGAGATGTCCCTTGAAGATCTCATTGTTCGGTTGAGAATCGAAGAGGACAACAAAGCTGCGGAAAAGAGAGGCCGTGGAAATTCAACAATAATGGGAGCAAATATTGTTGAAGAGAACAAAAAGAGAAAGAAGGCTTCTGGACCGAAATACAACCCAAGCAAGAAGCGGTTCAGTGGAAACTGCTACAACTGTGGAAAAACTGGACACAAATCTACGGAGTGTCGTGCTCCGAAGAAAGACAAGAAGAAGGGTCAA